CTAAGGGCCCTCCCAGCTCTGATATCCTGTGTCCTAAGGGCCCTCCCAGCTCTGACATTCTGTGTGCTAAGGGCCCTCCCAGCTCTGATATCCTGTGTCCTAAGGGCCCTCCCAGCTCTGATATCCTGTGTCCTAAGGGCCCTCCCAGCTCTGACATCCTGTGTCCTAAGGGCCCTCCCAGCTCTGACATTCTGTGTCCTAAGGGCCCTCCCAGCTCTGATATCCTGTGTCCTAAGGGCCCTCCCAGCTCTGACATTCTGTGTCCTAAGGGCCCTCTGAGTTCTGACACTCCGTGCTCTGAGGTCCATTTGAAGTCTAATATTCTAACAGTTTGACTCCCTTCTCCATCTCGCTTCCTTCCCCCCACTTCCCTCCCTCCACCCTGTCCAGTTAACAAGGTATAAGAAACTTGCCTCGGCCCTGAGTTTCAGCAAATCACAAATCCCTGGGTTTCTGTGGAAGCCTTTGATGTTGAATAGATTTACATACTTTAGGCCATGGTTCCATTAGGTTTTTTGGTGCTTTTGCCTGAACTCTCCTCGAGTTTCTGTAATAAATATTTGATCTGACCACCCAGATGTTCTTCATTTGACCCTACAGAACCAAAACCAACCCTGGATGTTCAGTGGGGTGAAGGGGGCTTGAAGCAGGATGGGAAAGGTGGAAAGGGAGAGGCAGGGAGGAGAGGGAAGGCTGGGATCTGGCGATAACTTAGGTGGGGAACAAAGGTGGGGGGAAGAAGCTGAAGCTTTGAGACCCCAAGCCAAAATTCGATCAGTAGAATCCCTCATCTTCTGTCATCTCTCTCAGGACACATCCCTCCCCTTGACTCCCTTTTCCTTTTCTGGTTCAATCTCTCTTCTCTCAAGCCTTTAGCTCTGCACTCTGTTTTAAATCACTTCCAGCTCAGCCATAGGAGCATAGATTTAGAACTGCAAGGGACCTGAGAGGTCATCTTGTTAAACTGCCTCATTTTACATTTGAGGAAACTGAGGCACAGTTAAGCTGCATGATGTACCTGAGGTCACACAGTTAGTGTCTGAGGCAATATTTGAACAGACTAATAATGCCCTATATGCTCTGTTATGATGCCTATATATGCCAAGAATCATCACAGTTCTGACATTCTATGTTCCAAAGCCCTTCGCAGCTCTGACCTTCCATGTTCTAAGGTCCTTTGCAACTCTGACATTCTATGCTCTAAGGGCTCTCCCAGCTCTGACATTTTGGGTTCTAAGGTCCCTTCCAACCCTGATATTCAATGTCCTAAGGACTCTCCCAGCTCTGACATTTTGGGTTCTAAGGTCCCTTCCAGCCCTGATATTCAGTGTCCTAAGGACTCTCCCAGCTCTGACATTCTGTGTTCTAAGGACTGGTTCTAAGGTCCCTTCCAGCTCTGACATTCAATGTTCTAAGGTCTCTCCTAACTCTAACATTCTATAGTTCCATGATCAACGAATTTCAAAGTGTTTACTATGGACAGATGGTGGCTGGAGAGAGAAGGGGATCACTTGGGACTTGTGTTTGGGGAGTGTCAAGTTGGGGAAGGAGCACAGAGATAAGTGGTTTCAGGAGAAGAGAACAGACAAACAACTAAATTCACATTTTCACTCTGGATTATTCCTGAGAACCATACTTACAGAAAGACATGAAGATACAAATCAGAGCATGGGGTCTTCATGTGCATGAGCAGGACAGGGAGCGTCAGGGGAAAAGAATAGTTTCAATTTCCCCATCTTCTTCAGAAGAAGATCTTGAGGCCAGAGGGCCTCTTGAGTGGGCGAGAGAGGTCAAGATGTGGAAGTACTGCCTGGACTGTGTGGACCCACAGCTGCCCGACTGCTGCTGAGCCAGCAGAACTAACCACCCCAAAGCCACAGGCTCAGTCCATTTGCTACAAATATCTAACCGGACTTCCAGAACAGGACCTGAAACTGCCTGATGGAGCAGTAATGAAGGAGGGGAAAGGGAAAGGGGGTGTGGGACTCTGGCCTGGCTCTCTGCCCTTGGGGGTGGGGGAGGGAGGGAGAATGGAAACTTCCCCTTAGCGCTCAAAGCAACCAGATTCTAATGACAGACTCCTGTCACCCTTGGGACCTCCTCAAACTGCAAGCGACTGACCTACCCAGGTAAGCATGAGCTTTGGTGACACAATGGAGATACTGAGTCCCAGTTGGGAGTAGGCAGGGCAGGCATTTGGGGACATTGAGTCCTAGTTGGGATTAAGCAGGGTAGGCATTTGGAGATATTGAGTCCTAGTTGGGATTAAGCAGGGCAGGCATTTGATACTGAGTCCCAGTTGGGAGTGGGCAGGGCAGGCATTTGATCTATAGCTCTAGAGACCATAAATGTTAGAAATGGAAAGGACTTTAGAAGAAAGACTCTCAGAGCTGAGAAAGACTTCAGAAATTAAAATGGCAGAGCTGGAAAGTAACTTAGAACATACACCTATCCGGGATAGGAGAGGTCATAGTCCATCATCTCATTTTACAGACTATGAAACTGAGACTTAAAGAATTTAGTTAGTGGAAGAGCTGGGACTGGGACCTAGGTCTCTCAAGCTCCTGCTTCTGTTATCTCCCTTAACTTTAGCTTAGAGGATCATGCATTTCTGTATGCTCCAACTCTCATCCTCTCTGATTTTCATTGGAACTCAGATTTGCTGGCTTCCCGAGAAGTCTCTCTTCTTGACAGTTTGAAATCTTCTGAAGACAGATCTTTTCTTTCTCTAGCACTCTACCTCCAGCCCCCTGATGACTGGGTCCTGTTTAATCTTATTGTTTTATAACTCTCAGATTCTCTGACCTCTCCTGAAAGAGACAGGGACTACCCATTGAGACAGATTAATAATTGGTCATCGCAGAAGCCTGGACTAGTAGAAATAACAGAGAAATGAAAGGGAGAAGATCCGGATTCTCATCCTGGACTTTACCACTAACTTTCTGCGTAAACTTAAGGAAGTAGCTGACCCTCCTTGGGCCTCAGTTTCTTTACCAATTAAGTGAGAGGGTCTTGGAGGTCCGTTTCTGCTCCAACAGTCTGAGGCAGTCACGTAATATGTCCGAGACGTAACTGTAATGTGAAGAGGCTGCTTTGATAACCCATATTTGAAATGGGTCTAACACAGACGCCCTCAGCACAATTACTTCAGGTTTAAAATACAACCAGCAGTACTAGAGGGAAGGAGAGCTGGATTTTGGGTCAAAAGTCATTAATTAGAGCCCTGACCCCACCACTTCCCATCCATGTGGGAAGGGGAATAAACATTCAGTAAGGGCCTACTCTGTGCCAGGCACTGTGCTAAGTGCTTTACAAATAACTATCTCATTTGATCTTTACAACAACCCTGTAAATTAGGGGCTATAATTATCCCAATTTGAGGAAACTGAGGCAGACAGAGGTTAAGTGACTTACTCAGAGTCACACAGTTAAATTTCTGAGGCTGGATTTGAACTCAGGACTTCTGGACTCCAAGCTTAGTGGTCTTCTAGATTCTAAATGCTAGTGTAACAACCAGCCAGTGACCTTGTTTCCTCTTTCCAGATGGGCCCCAGTTTACCCATCTATAAAATAGGGGCATTAGTACCCTCACTACCTTCATCACAGGAGTCTTGTGAATTTCATGTGAAGGTTCTTTGTAAGGGAAACTACCCAACTTTCCCAAACTCTACCAAAACTATATAATTATGACCAAGCTTGGCCCAAAAGAAAAGATGAAAAAGAAGATAGGAAAAATGTACCTCTCTATTTTCCTTGGGAAGGTGGAGGACTTTGGGTATGTACTGTTAGACTTGACTGATTTGTTACTCAGTTTTGACAATAAGCTTTCTCCCCTCTTTTTTTTATTCTTTATTACAAGGGATGGTTCTCTGGGGAGAGAAAAGGAGAAGTTTGGAAATGCTAGCTTTTAATAAACTATCAACAAACAGTAAAAACATCTTTTTAAAGAAATTACTCCATAAACTATAACAGAAGTGGTGACAGACTGGAGAAGGAAGGAAGGAAGAAGGGATGGAAGGAAGGGAAAGAAGAGAAAGAAGATGAGAAGAATCCAGAAAAAATAGCTAGAACATATGAGCTGAGGTTTCAGAGAGGCCAGCTGCCACTCAACCTAAAGAAATCAGAGCTATACCTGGGCTGTATTGGGAAGTAGTGAGTTCTCCATTCTCCATGGAGTCTTCAACTGGAAGCTTAATGTCCTCTTGTCAAGAATGTTGTCAAAGGGATTTCTGCTCAGATACCTATCAGGCCACAGAACCCTGAGGTCCCCATTAGACTGTAACCTCCTTAAAAGGAGGAATTGTTCCATTCCTTTGCTTGACATCCCCATTGCCTAGCCCAATGCCTGACCTAGAGCAAGTACTTAACAAGTACTTTTTTGAGGGAGAGGTAATTGGGGTGAAGTGACTTGCCCAGGGTCACCAGCTAATAAGTGTCAGGTTCTTCTGACATAGTGCTCTATGGCGCCACCTAGCCGTCCTTAATAAGTACTTGTTGACGGATTGGTCTCTTCAAACGTTAAAATATGATCCTTTGAAGACAATGACGGAGGTGATGGTGGTGGTGGTTAGGATGAGGATGGCAGGGAATGAAATTAGAGGTGGGGTATCACCCCAGCCACACATTCACCAGATGGCATAGGTTGGGTTTGGGAAATCTCTTTGAATCATAGCAAACAGATAGGGGATCCCATTGGGAACTGAGGGCTGGCAGGGCTGGACAGCTCCGAACCGACTGTTGACAAGACCAGCCTCACCAGCAGGAGGAGGAAATGCTGCCTGCCCGATGGCCCTCCCATTGGAGCCAGGCAGTTAAAACCAACTAGGGAGGTAGTGGGTCCCTGTCCCTGGAGGTCACTGTGTGAAGGCTGGATGACTATTTGTCCAGGTTGGCAGAAAGGAGATGCTTACTCAGGTAAAGGTTAAGCTAGTCTCTCCTCCTGCCCTAAGATTCTGTGACTAACACTCAACCAGCCTTTATTAAGCACCTGCCACTATGTGCCAAGCACTGGGCATACAAAGACAAAAATGGAGCCCTGTCTACAAGGAACCCACGGTCTATTGGACAGATAATGGCTTGATAAAGGCCACATGAGTGGTACAGAGAGTATGTGCTCAGTGTAGGAGAGAGCTATCAAGGAGGGGGCTGTCATCATGGAGAAGGTGAGTATGAAGGTGATACAGGATGCCAAGGGACAAAGAGGGAGGTAAGAGGGCATTCTGGAGAGAGGGAAAGGGACAAGCAAAAGCATGGAAGTGGGAAAAGGCATTAGTAGACCAAGTTGTCTGAAGCAGAGCATTTATGTTGGGGAGAATTATAGAATATTAGAGTTCAGATCTGGAAGAAACCTAGATCACAGAAAGTACCACTAGAAAGTGCCTTAGAACAGAGAATGTCAGAGCTAGAATGGACCTTAGAACACAGAATGTCAGAACTATAAGGAGCCTTAGAACATGGAATGTCAGAGCTTGGAGGGGCCCTAGAACACAGAATGTCAGAGCTAGGAGAGATCTTAAAAGAGAGAATGTCAGAGCTGGGAGGGTCTTTAGGACACAAAATTTTGGCCCTAGAAGGGAACAGAAGAATATTAGCAATGAAAGAGATCTCAGAATGTAGCCTTTTAGAGAGAGAAGAGGCCTTAGAACAGAGGAGTATTAGAAATGGAAATAACCTTAGAACATGAAATGTCAGACCTAAGAGGGACCTAAAAGATCATTTTGCCTAATTCCTTACTTTACAGATGAGGACACTGAGGCCAAAGGGGGCACAGTGCTTTTCCCAGGGTTCCCTAGCTAGTAAGTGGAGGAGCCTAGATTTTCATCCATTTTCATCCCATCCTCTTTTCACTGTCCAGCACCTCCTCCAGTAGGTAGGATGAGATGAGACTTGGAGTTAGACAGGGGAGAGCCCTGAATGCCAGGTAGAAGACTAGGCACTGAAAGCTTTTGAGCAGTTAGCGACCTGATGAAAACTGTTTTTGGAAGGTATATGGGATTCAGAGCTGCAGCAGAATTGAGAGATCATCTAAGTCTAACCCCCTAGGGAAGAAAACAGAGGCCCAGAGAAGAGATAGGCCTTTCCCAACTGGCTGCCAAGCCTTATCAGTCTTCACAACATCACTTGCATATGTCTGCTGCTCTCTACCCCACATGGCCACCGCCCCAGCTCCAGCCTCATCATCCCTCACCTGCACTACTGCAGTGACCCCTCCTTTGGCTCCCTACCCCAAGTCTCTCCTAACTCCCATCCTTCACTTAGTTACCAAAACGATTTTCCTAAAGCACAGGTTTGACCATGTGACCACCCCCATTGCCAGGATACCTCCAGGATGAATATTAAATCCCTTGCTTGGCATTTAAAATTCTTCACAACCCAGCCCTTTCCTACCTAATCACACCTTATACCCTTCCACAAACTCCACAATCCAGACACACTGGCCTTGTTGTGTGCTCCTTGCCTATGACAACCTGGCTCCGTGCCTTGGCACTAGCTGTCCCCATACCTGGATGCTCTCCCTCTTCATGCCCTCCTCTGAGCACACCTGGCTTCCTTTAAGATTCAGCTAAAACACCACCTTCTCCAGGTGAGCCCTTTCCCAGATCCCCACGTGCTTAAGCCTTCCCTTTCAAAATGCCTTTCCAACTAGTCAGTGTGTGCACAGGCCCAGTTATTTACATGGTGTCTCTCCCAGGGCAGAAGGGACCCTGTCCTTACCTTTTTTTGTATATCCAGTGCTTAGTACATAGATGTAAATGCCTGTTCATTGATTGATATTTGTCTGATGGTAATGCTGAGGGCATTTTTTCTCTAACTGAAAAGCCTAGAATCAGAGAAAGTCACCTTAAACTTTCTCCCCTGGCTTTTTGGGTCTCCTGATGACTGAGGAAAGAACCTTAGCCAGTTAACTGCAAAGAAACATTGTGTGTGTGTGTGTGTGTGTGTCTGGGCATCTGTGTGTGTCTGCTTATCCCTCTAAGAGACAGCAGTAACAGAGCAGAGGTGAAGATGAAACCTTTGGAGTGGGCATTGGTGACATTGCTCCTGCTGGCCCTGGCTGTTGTCACACTGGCTGAGGTCTCCTGCACTGGGCATGCTTTCATCCCAGGGATTCCTGGAACACCGGGGGTAGCTGGCACCAATGGCAAAGATGGCAGCCCTGGTATAAAGGGAGACAAAGGTATGGAAGATATCTGTGACTTCAATCATTGGAGAATTTCCCTCCCCCAACCACCTCCCTTCTCTCCAAGCCTTCATGAACTTATTCTCCCTCCACAATCCCCTGAGGGAACATGGGTCAGTGAATTAATCCCATTGGAGTGAAGTTGGGGTGGGGCATAGGGGAAGGAATGATTTCTGTCTGTATTCTTCCCCTCAAAAAAAATCCAAGAATCAACAGGGTTGTCAATGGTATGATAGAAAAAGAGCTGACCTGGGAGTCCTTGTCACCCTGTACAATTAGTTTGCTATATTACTTTGAGCAAATCATTTCCCTTCTCTGACACTCAGTTTTATCTGCCCAATGAGGGGATTGGGATAAGGTTCCTTCAAGTTCTAACATTCTATGGAAGGTGCCTTCCAACCCTAACACCCTTCCATTTCTAAATCCATAATCCTAATATTCTGTGTTCTAATGTCCGTTTCAGTTCTAACATGCTGTGTTAAAACATTTTATGGTCTTATACCTGTTCCAACTCCAATATTTCACGTTCTGAATTCTATTTTCTTTCAATTTATATCATGAAGCTCTTTCTGGCTCTAATATTCCATCTTCTAACATCTCTTCCAGACATGACACTCTATGTTCGCTCTAGGTCCTTTCTAGCTCTAACATTCTGTGTTCTAACACCTCTTTCCATTCTGATGATCTATACTCTAGGGTATGACATCCTACTGAGGACCCTTCTGTCTCACATTTTATTTTCTAAGGGTGTGTGGAGTGATTAAGTGATTCTCCCCCCAGGTCTATGAATTTAACTAGTTTCCTCTTCTCTGCTTTTTCAGGGCTGCCCGGAGTGTTGGGAGATTCAGGAGAAATTGGAGAAAAGGGAGATTCTGGGAGCCCTGGAAACCCAGGGAAAGTTGGTCCAAAGGGTCCCACTGGCCCCAAAGGCATCCCTGGGCCTGTGGGTCCCCCTGGACCTCCAGGTGAATCCGGAGACTATGGCAACTTGGCAAAGTCAGCCTTCTCTGCCTCAAGGACCATCCATAGCCAGCTGCGGAAGGACCAGCCCATCCGCTTTGACCGGATAATCACCAAGGAAGGCAGTGATTATGAGCCCAGGAGTGGCAAGTTTAGTTGCCGGACCCCAGGACTGTACTACTTCACCTACCATGCCAGCTCCCGGGGCAACTTGTGTGTCCTCCTAATCAAGGCAAGCCGAGGCTCGGCTAAGGAGGCAGTGGTGACCTTCTGTGACTTTGTCTACAACACCTTCCAGGTCACCGCAGGTGGGGTGGTACTCAAGCTGGAGGTGGGTGATTCAGTGTGGCTGGAGGTCAATGACAAAAATTCCCTGGTGGGGTTGGATGGAGCCAATAGCATTTTCTCTGGGTTTCTGCTCTTCCCTGTTATTTGACCTGGTAACCCTAATCCTGTCTTCTACTTTCCCCCTCACTGTGTTTCCACCGTCTCACCCCCAAATAATTTGACTTCATGTAAAAATAAAGAATTTTAGAGCTACAAAGGACCTCAGAACATAAAATGTCAAAGCTGGGAGGGCCCTTAGAACACAGGATGTCAGAGCTGGGAGGGCCCTTAGAACACAGAATGTCAGAGGTGGGAGGGGCCTTGGAATACAGGACATCAGAGCTGAGAGGAATCTTAGAACATGGTATTTTCTAGTTAGAAGGAGCCTTATGATATAGAATGTCAAATATGGAAAGAACCATAGAATGCCAGAGAAGAAAGGGACCTTAGTGATCATCTCTTCCAATCCCCTTATTTTGCAGATTGGGAAACTGAGGCCCAGAGAAGGAATTAATTCACCTTAGGTCAAAGAGTAGCAGAGCTGAAATTTTGACCGAAGTCCCCTAAGTCCCAGGCCAGTGACTTTTCCACTCTGCCTCATTCCTTGTTAGAGGATTGTTAGGGCTACTGAGTCTCAAATCAAGGCTTTGGGGTTCATGGAGTCACTTGGCTTGGCTGGGTTTGTATCCTTAGGTATATTAACTGGCTGCTTAGCAGAATTTGAGATATTTTTGGAAGGCCCCCTCCCTGCTTTTCCACAAATTTCACCCCTCGTTTGCACACTACCTGAAATTCCACAATTAGAGTTTATTCCCTGCTAAATTCCTCTTTTATAGGATTAACTTAGAGTAGGAGTTTGTAGTTCCTAACTTTCTAATATGAATAAATTTTTCAGCCCCATCCCTTATAATCAGAGGGACAAATTATTTAGGAAAAGGGAAGGGACAAACGGGACCAAGTTGACATGGCTCTAGGTACCTTCTTCCATTGAAAGCAAGCGTTATGTTCATGGTGCAGCTAGGTGGTGCAATGGATAGAGCACTGGCCCTGGAGTCAGGAGGACCTGAGTTCAAATTCAGCCTCAGACACATAACACTCACTAGCTGTGTGACTCTGGGCAAGTCACTTAACCCCAATTGCCTCACCAAAAAAAAAAAAAAAAAGAGTTATGTTCTCTTTGGAGACATAAAAGCACAGACCCAAAGAATGGAGGTACTGAGTAGGTCTTGGGAGATGACCTTGTTCAATGCCTTCATTTCACAGCTGAGGAAACGGATTCCCAGAGGAGAGAACTTTGTACCTGAATTTTATCCAAGGTCACCTAACAAAATTAGTGGTAAAATTGGGACTTGACTTGGCCAGTTCTTCTGACCCCAAGCCCATCACTCCTTCCATTATGCCAGACATCTTTTAACTTTCCCAGATTGTTTCTTTAGACCCTTACCTGCTTCCCTGAGCAGTAGAGACCCTTAGGAAGCTAAAATGAGGCCTGCCTCTGTGTGTGTGTGTGTGTGTGTGTGTGTGTGCGTGTGTGTGTGTGTGTGTATGTGTATGTGGTTTTCTGTTTGTTCATTTTTGTGGATATATCAGGAAAGAGAGAGATGTAGAAATCAGTTCCATATTGAAGAGGTCCTGGATAAAAGGACCTTCTGGGGGAGATTGAGTGGTGGCAGCAACTTTTTCAGAGCAGAAGAACTTGGGGCTCAAAGGAGAAAAGAAAGAGGAATTCAAGCTGTACTAGGTTTGAGGAGCTAACCCCAAGGTTTAGGGAGGTGATTAGCTTCTCCCATTTAACTCCCCAATTCCCCAATTTAACAGCAATTGCTAAGTTCCTAATGATGTGGTAGGCTTAATTCTGGCTGCACCAATAAAGAAAAAGCAAAACCCAACCTTACATATATTCCACTGATATTAATAAGGGGCATGATATTCTAAAATTATTCTTAAAATGACCTTGAAGAATCTACTATTGTCTTGGAGGAGGAAAGAGTGCAAACGCTTCCAGTAAAGCAGTTTGTAACAATAACAAAAATTACAAGAAGGAAAAAAATTGTTTTGAACATTTAGCATGAAAACCATGAGATGATAATGGTTATTCCTTAAAAAAAAAAAAAAAAAGAACCTATTAATTCAAGCAAGGGTGCCAACAAACAATACTGTCATTGAAAGAGTGTTGCCTCATACAAAGTGAGGCCTGGGTAAGACCTTAATTTAGAAAGACCAAAGTCTCCCATTGCACCCTGGGCCATCGCCAGCCTTCTTGACCTACGTCTTGCCACTGGACTCAGATGACTCTGGAGGAGAGAGTGAGGCTAACAACTTTTTGCAGCTCTGCCTCACTTAAATCCAATTCACTCGAAAGTCAAGACTTCACTCTCATGATGTCATTGGTCCTGTTTGAAACTGAAAGATGAGCAGCAATAGAAAGTATTAAGTATAGTTTATATATGTTTCCTAAAGAAAGAAATCTCTTAAACGGGTATTGAGCTGGAAGTTTCTGTAGACAATAAATGGACCGAATCTGATGTAGGGCCTAATTTATACAAGCAGAAATTCATATATCAACAGCACTCAAGGTGTCAGGTCTAACCTGGGGTTCATGGACCCACAAGAGGCCTAACAATAGCTTTCAGCTGGTCTTTGAATGGGAGAAAAAATCATATCTTTATTTCCCTTCACCTCTGACTGAAATTTAGCATTTCCTTCAATTGTTTAAAAACATGATTCTTAGAAAGGCTGTATAGGTTTTACCATACTACCAAAGGGGTCCATGACACCAAAAAGAATTAAGACCCACCCCCCAACTTGAAATCTTAAAGTGGGTGATAGCAGTAACCTGGGGTGGTGTTAGGGTGAATGTCTCACGGTCTCATGAGAGCTCTGTTGAGGGAACTTTCCCATGGGAGTTCTAGCTTCTATCAGTAGAAGCTGAGGGTCACAACATAGTTGCATGGCAAAAATAAGGAAGTCTCCCAGGACCTCTCATTTGCTGACATGCAGCTCCCACGGTTGGTTTGGCTTTCCTCTCCATGGGAGATGAGTCCTGACACGAGCTCCAGCAGACCTGATGATTGGCTATCACAGGAGGATCACGCTTTGAACATGCATCACTAGGGCTATAAAAGACAGCTACCTGCACTCAGTAAACGGAGCTTCTGCCACCTTGCTGTCTCCCGCCTCATCCATGTGTCTCCGGGTTACTGAGCACTGAGCTGGTCTCATGCTCACCACTGCAGCGGCCGCGACAGGGTGGCAGTATTGTTGCTTAGTCATTTTTCAGTCATATCTGACTCTTCACGATCCCTTTTGGGGTTTTCTTGGCAAAGATACTGGAGAAGTTTGCCAGTTCCTTCTTTGGCTCATTTGACAGATGCAAAAACTGAGGCAAACAGGGTTAAGTGACTTGCCCAGGGTCACCCAGCTAGTAAGTGTCTAAGGCTAGATTTGAACTCAGGTCTTCCTGACTCCAGATCCAACATTTTAGCCACCTAGCTGGGGTACCAACTAAAAAAAGTCATACAGAACATTGACTAAGCTTTAGTGTCTCCAGGGATTTCACAGAAAAAGAAAGTTGGAAGGGTCTTCAGAAGCTATCTCATCCAATCTATGCCTGACAAAGAGCTCCCCCTATGACATTCCTGACAAATGGTTATCTAGCCTTGGCCTGAAGTCCTCTAGTGAAGAGAAGCCCACTGCCTCCCAAAGCAGCCCATCTCACTTTGGATCAGCTCCCCCTGTCAGGGGGTTTTTCTGACATCAAGCCTAAACTGGCCTCCACTACTTCCACCCACTATTGCTGGTTCTTCCTTCTGTGGCCAAGCAGAAAAAAGTGTAATCCCACTTCCACACAACAGCCCATCAAATACTTTTAGACGGCTCTCCTGGTGCACACACTCCCTGAATAAGTCTTCTTTAGACTAACCATTCCCTTCAGACTAACCAGTGCCTTCAGCTGAGAGTCAAATGAGATGATCTCAAGGCTCTGCACTATCCTGGTTGCCCTCCTGGAGATGCTCCCCATCTTATCAGCATCCTTCCTGAAATGGAAGTTCGGAACTGTAGGCTGTACTCCACTGGGGTCTGACCAGACCAGAGGGCAGGCACTCAACCCAACACCCCCTGCAACAGACATGTAAGTATCTAGAGTGTCCCCAATCATGACCACAGGGCTGGAATTTATACAGAATTTTGATAAGACACAGGGTCTTTGCCCAAATGGAACCCACAGTCTAGTAGGGCTAAGACACATCCAGAGAATTTTAATGCAATTTTCTAGTTCTGTGATTTTGTCCTTGAAAGAATCCTAGGATTTAGAGTCAGAAGGGACCCTAGAGGTTGAGTCCAACCACTTCATCTTACAGATGAGAAAACTGAGGCCCAGAGAAATGAAGTGACTTGTTCGATGTCCCACAGTGGTAGAGGCAGGATCCTAATCCAAATTTTCTGACTTCAAATACAGTCACCTTGTCATTGTTACTCCCTTTATTTGGGCCAGCTTTTGATTTATAGAACAAAGAATGTTGGTTTTGGAGTGAAAGGTCCAAGAGTCAGATTCTAGCTCTGCTATTGACTTTGCTTAGCCATGGGCAAGTCATTTAACCTCTCCAGGCCTCAGTTTCCTCATCTGTAAAATGAGTGTTGTTCTAGATGATTTCTAAGATCTCTTACTGCTCTATGCTTTTTCTATGCTCCTATAAGAGAAGCAATGTGACCTAGTGGATAGAGGAGCTAGTCTTGGAATGAGGAAGACCCAGGTTAAGTCCTGTCTCTGACATGTACTAGCTATATGGGCTTTGGCTGAGTCACTTAATATCTTAATGTCCCCAGGCAACTTTCTTAGATTAATAAGTTAAGATGTAGTGCTGATCTGCATTGGTGGAGGAAATTACCATAGTGGGAATGTCCTTACATCCATGAAATCACAGGTTTGGACTTTTTTTTAATGCTATTATGATTGTAGAGTACATGGATGAGATTAAAGACTGGAAGGTAGAAAGGGGCTGGATTTGTTTTTTAAATATTTGATCCTGGAGGTAACAGGGAGTCACTGAAATTTATTGATTAGAGGAATCACTTTGACAGCTAAATGGAAGATGGACTGGCAGGGATACCAACGAGACAGCTGTTGTATTTGTTATATTTGTGCCCAACTTGTGGTAGAGCCTTCTGAGCTCACGTTGATCTGATCAGCCGCAGTCAGACTCATTATTGATTCCA